CGGCCGACTCATGAGCCAGCTCGAGCTCGACTCGATAATAGGCTCGACGAGCCGAGCTTATCAGCTCGCGAGTCGAGCTCGAACAAAATTTCGAGCTTGAACAGCCGATTGATCGACTCGATGGCTCGACGAGCCGCTTGATTACGAAGCTAGCGGGGGAAAATCGAAATCATGAGCGGGAAATCCAAATGGACAGAGCTCGCGAGCAGAAAATCGGAAATTCTAAACGACGACGGTGACGCAGTTTCGTTCAAAACATTGAAGGCAGCTGACACTAACGGGACGCTTACGACGTGACGATTGCGGCGGACGAGGACGACGAACCCGAGCTAGGCTTCCTGTTACGCGGACGCTGGCGGCGGAAGCAGACGCGGATCTTGGCGGCGAAAATTCTAAATGATGCCGGCCGGACGCTTACAACGTGACGACAGATGACGACGAGGAACCCGAACGTGACGACGTGACAACGTAACGACGACGAACCCGAAAGTGAACGACGTGATAACGGACGACGTCGTCGTGTGACGCGACCTTGACATCGAACGCGATGACAAACCGCGAGTATGCGACGACGACAGACATCTGCACGACAGCGAAAGCTAGTACACGACGACATTTTGAGCTCGACGAGCCGCTCGAAAGCGAAACGAGTTGAGCTCGAGCTTGGATTTTGAGCTCGACTCGAGTTCGAGCTCGAGCTCGACTCGACTCGTTTGCACCCCTACTCATATCCCAGATTGAAGCTAGAAATAACATGCAACCCTTATTGTATAATATATATGTTCCCATAGCAGAAATCAAACAAGACAAAATACCTCTAACTATACTTAACTTTCATTGCCCAAAAATAAAGTATCCCGCTTCTTTACGTAATCAATTTAAGCCCAGTACCAACTCAACCAGTCTATACCCAAAATAACATCATATGAGAAAATAGATAATAAAATTAAACTAAAATTTGCACTTCTTTTTAGAAATCTCAATATCACATAAACAAAGTCTATTGATCATCATATCATCTCTACTCAATAAGGAAACATAAAGAGAAATAGGCAGTATAACTGAAGAAAAGCATAGTAAATTAAACAAATGCTCAAAAATAAATAAATCACGAGCTCCAAAATTGAATAAAATATGACATTATTGCTAAAAAATGTAAACCATACCTATCATAATAATTAGAGCATAACGAGCCTCCTACTAAGTCAAATTATATATTTGTGGCTAAACTAGAACTGGAGTTATAGTACTACCAGACTCTCTTTGACCACTATCAGATGGTCTACATACCGTAGAACCAGATCCACTACATTTAATAATAGAATTCTTAACAAATATACAAATCAGAATTACCCAATAGGTTTAACAAAAGTCATATCTAGGCCTATATAGTGATTGCCCTCCTATCTTGGAATCTTTAGGTAAAAATGTGCTCTTTTTCTAAAAAAAACTACCACCACAAGTCTCGCCATTGAACCTATTCCTACTAGCAGTCCATCGCTTTTTAAGCCATCATATCTTTATTTATCAAATAAGCTCTCTCTATAAGCTCAAAAAAATTTAAAAAAAATAATGAAATGGTATTAGTGGTTGTCATATATTGTCCTAAAGTCCCCTAAAAAATTAGAAGCAATTCTTTTAGGTAGTGCTAACAAGCTTTAGAGCATATCTGGCAAAAGCAATGAATTCTTCCTTGTACTGCATAACTATCCTGCTCCCCTGAATTAGTCTAAAAAAAGTCTCTTGCATATACAAAAGGTGATATAAACTAAGCTCTAAACACATCTAGAAACTCCTCTGAACTAATCAGGGAATTTTATCTCCTCAAAAATTTCACCTCCTATTAGCCCATCCACCAAGGCTCAACCTCACCAACTAGCAAAAAGACTGCTAATAGTACCTTCCTCTCATGAGGATACTATATACCATCAAATATCTTCTCTACCATCCTCAACTAGTCATCTATTATATATGCTAAAGAGTACCCTAAAACCTCAAATGTTTCAATTGTAAAAACATTTGTATATGTATGTCTATCTTATAAGGTTTCATAGTATGAACTCTGCAATGTGTCTCTAAAAGTTCGTGAAGATTGTTAAACATGTAAGAACTAGCCCGAGACTAATCAAGATGGGGGTGAATTGAATATTTAAAAAAATCTTTAGGAAAAAAAAAATCTTTAAAATCTTTTTAAACCCATACAGGATAATCGATATAGCGGATATGAAAATAAGTAAATTTCTCAACAACAAATTAAATTAGATTTTCAATCACACATATAATTACAAAAAATAAAGTGTAGAAAATAATCAGAATGAACATATCAAAATTTACAGTGGTTTGGTCAACCTCACCTACGTCCACTCCTTGGAGACTCTCTCTCCAAGTATTGCACTAAATAGTAGTGACTCCCTATCCTAACATTAGTTCCTTAGGATGACTTGAAGAATATCTCCATTCTCTAGGCATTAAATTTTCAGGTTCTACCCTTTTCTTCAGATTTGCAGATTCTACTCAGATAATTTATACAACTTCTTCTTCTTATACCTTAGACCTATCAGAATTATCAGTGTCACGACCCGGCCCGGTTAGCTCGCAAGTGCGAGGCGGGAACAAAGGTCGGACGGGAAAAGAGACAAGTTACCATAGCATAACATTAAATCATCCAAAAAAATTAACATCTTTACTATAAAAATGAAAGACCACTTTAAAGCAAATCCAAATAAAAATTTTCATTTCTCATTCTTCTTCAAAAGAATCATATACATAGAGAGTTTTTTCATAAGAGAGGATCCAAAATAAATACTCTCTCAAAAATCTACAAACAACCATCTATCAATAAAAATAACAAAACTCAAAAGAACCTGCCGCCCGTCATCTCCCTACGACGGTAAGTGCGCGGTGGTTGGTCTGTCATCTATCCTTTCCTAAATCCTCCTGAAAAGTGTTCCCACAACGAGGGTGAGTCATAAACTCAATAGGTATGAATGGAATTCAAATAAACTTAAAATCAAAGAAGAAAACTATATTATCATGCTTGGATATTTTAACAAAAGAAACATCAACATAAAGAAACTTTTTCTTAGAGGAAATGCATACCTTTACCTCAACTTTCAAGTGCTTTTTCCTTCATAACATTTCTATTTTTTCTTTAACATTTTGCCTAACATGATAGTCTCAAATGCATAACATGAATTATGAAATAATTCATAACAGTTTAACATGTAAATATAACACCCGTCTCAGGAGTATCACTTGTACTGATCAGGTACATAAAATTTGGTCATTTCCTTTACCATTGGTTCATAGGAACCATCCTTTACCATGGCTCATAAGAGCCTCCTTTACCATGGATCATAAAAGCCTCCTTTACTATGTGATACTCCCGCGTCAACATGCACATACACTTATTGCTTATATAACCATAAGAGATGCTTTATGTAAACCATTCATAAACTAACCAAGTGTATGTTTCCTTAGAGATATGCATGCTTGATATGCTTATGTGTGCTTTTGCATGTAAAGAGGAAAGACATATATAGTAAGAGTAGATAAATGAGCATGGGATCCATTCATGAATTGTACATTTGCATAAAGATAAAAATTTGCATTTGCTTCAAGTGTCCATAAACTTACAAGGGAACATGAGCCATAAGAGTTTCATAATGAGCATAAAAGAATTTGTCATTTCAATGTAATTTGCAATGAAAGAAAATTTGTCTAAAATTTATAAGAACATCCATTCCACCTACCTCAATCCGTGCACCTCTTTCTTTGTCCGATCAAACTCTTTCCCTCCACACGATTTATATTTAAAAGAGACATACAATGAAAAACATAGGTGACTAATCCCTATATAATATCCTAAACCCTAATTCTAAAGTAATAAAAGGGTTCTTCTAATGTCTTGTTTATGTTCCAATTCAAGCCCTCCACACCAAATCATGATATCTCGAACACATTCTCTCTCAATTATGGTTTAGTCTAATTCCTTAGGTTTTAAGCATGCAACACTTTTCCCTACCCTCAAAACATAATTAAAATAAAATCAATTTTTGGAATTAATAAAATAAAAAATTAGAAAATATAGTTTTTCAAGAAAAACCCATGTATTTGCCTCTAAAATCCTCCCAACAACCAATGAAAACCATAGAGATAAAAAGTTCCTTAATTAGAGAAAAATCCTAAATTCCTAAACTCAAAATTTTCGTCATTCATTCAATATTTTTCCATAAGAAGCTTTCTTATGTTAATAAAAACCTCTTTTGTGAAGACATTTCCAAGGAAACAATTTTTGAGCAAAACCCTAATTTCCAAAAATTCATATTTTCAAGAAATCAACTCGCATTAAGGTTTAGAAACATCCTTTAATCATTCCCTAAACTTTTCTCAAAGAAATTTCAAGTTTTCTCTAAACCCTAGTTTTCATTTATTAGAGAAAACTCAAGGGAAGAAGGAGAAAACTCAAACAAAACACATACCTTAATCTTCCCTTGGATTTCCCTACGTTTTTTTCCACGACCGGCCGCCGAAAACCCGCCGCCCGAAGCTCCCGTCACCGCTCCTACCCGCTCCCTCTCCCTCTTCTCCGCTTGGTTTGATCGCAAGAAACAAATGGGGACCGAAATATTTTGGTCCCCTAATAAGGGTGGGGTTCTCATAATGTAAGCACAATGACCTCAAAGCCCTCACTTAAACACCCTCTCTATTAAAAAAGCATTAAGGGTAAAAATGTCATTTAGAACTTTCTGGAAATTTTAACTCTCAAAATACTCAAAATCCAAAATGGGTTATATACATCAAAATGATCAGAATTTTGCGCTCTATTTTCTAAAATTATTCTCGTCGAAATCCGACAACCTCAAATTTTTCACTTAAAACTCGTTGCGGTGCTTTGAAAAGCGTGCGATGTCTAAAATAGCATTTTCGGGTTTTATAATTCTCCATCCCTTATAAAAATTTCATCCTTGAAATTCATGACAAGCTTAAGAGATCATACCTTAGTAAAAAAGGTGAGGGTAGCTCTCCCTCATCTCTGATTCCTTCTCCCAAGTAGTATCTTTCTCAATTTCATGCTTCCACATAACTTTGACATAAGGAATCTCTCTACTACGAAGCTGCTTAACATCATAATATATGATCTTCTCAGGTTCTTCTACAAATGTCAGATCTGGTTGGATATCTATTACTTCAGTACTTATCTTCTGAGCTTCATCTGCAATGTATTTCCTCAAAGAAGAGATGTGGAATACATTATGTACTCCACTCATGTGAGATGACAAAATCAATCTATAAGCCACACTGCCAACTCTCTCTGATATCTCAAAAGAGCTAACATACCTTGGACTCAGTTTTTCAACTTTGCCAAATCTCTTCACACCTTTCATAGGACTAATCTTGAGGAATACAAACTCTCCAACATCAAACTCAACAGATATATATTTGGCATAATAGTACTTCTTCTGTCTATGTTGCACAGCCTTCATGAATCAACCTTATCTTTTCAGTAGCATCATCTACTAAATCAGCTCCAATGATCTTTCTTTCTCCTGTCTCAGCCCAACATAAAGGAGTTCGACACCTCCTTCCATACAAAGCTTCATAAGGTGTCATACCTATACTTGCTTGGAAGCTATTTTTATAAGCAAATTCAATCAGTGGGATGTGTTTCTCCCATTTGCCACCAAAATCAAGTACACATAATCTGAGTAAATCCTTCAAAGTCTGAATAGTCCTCTCTGATTGACCATCTGTTTGAGGGTGAAAGGCTGTACTAAAAGTAAGTCTAGTGCCCATTGCCTCTTGAACCTTCCTCCACAACCTAGAGGTAAATCTCCCATCTCTATCTGATACTATCGATCTTGGTACACCATGAAGTCTAACAATCTTATTAACATAAACATTTACCAAATTCTCAGCAGCATCAGATTGCTTGATAGGTAAAAAGTGTGCTGACTTGGTCAACCTATCAATGATCACTCATATAGCATCATGACCAGTTCTGGACCTGGGTAAACCAACTACAAAATCCATGGCTATGTCTTCCCACTTCTATTCCGGTATAGGTAAAGGCTGCAATAAACCTCATGGCTTTTGATGTTCTACCTTAACCATCTGGCAAACTGTACACTTAGCCACAATTTCTGCTACACTTCTCTTCATCCCTGGCCACCAAAAGTATTCCTTCAAATCTTGGTACATCTTGTTACTACCTGGGTGAATGGTATAACTTGAATAGTGAGCTTCTTGAAGAATGTCCTTCCTCAAATCTCCAACATCTGGGATGCAAATTCTGCCTCTATACCGTAGTAGCTCATCCTCATCAAGCTCAAACTCCAGAGAGAATACAAACTCAAAAGAACTGCCGCCCGTCATCCTACGACGGTAAGTGCGTGGTGGTTGGTCTGTCATCTATCCTTTCCTAATCTCCTGAAAAGGTTCCCACAACGAGGTGAGTCATAAACTCAATAGGTATGAATGGAATTCAAATAAACTTAAAATCAAAAGAAGAAAACTATATCATGCTTGGATATTTTTAACAAAAGAAAATCAACATAAAGAAACTTTTTCTTAGAGGAAGAATACCTTTACCTCAACTTTCAAGTGCTTTCCTTCATAACATTTATTTTTTTAACATTTTGCCTAACATGATAGTCTCAAATGCATAACATGAATATGAAATATTCATAAAGTTTAACATGTAAATATAACACCGTCTCAGGAGTATCACTTGTACTGATCAGGTACATAAAATTTGGCCATTTCCTTTACATTGTTCATAGGAACCATCCTTTACCATGGCTCATAAGAGCCTCTTTACCATGGCTCATAAGAGTCTCCTTTACCATGGTCATAAACCTATGTGATACTCGCGCGTCAACATGCACATACACTTATTGCTTATATAACCATAAGAGATGTTTATGTAAACCATTCATAAACTAACCAAAGTGTATTTTTCCTTAGAGATATGCATGCTTGATATCTTATGTGTGTTTTTGCATGTAAAGAGAAAGACATATATAGTAAGAGTAGATAAATGAGCATGGATATTCAGAATTGTACATTTGCATAAAGATAAAATTTGCATTTGCTTCAAGTGTCCCATAAACTTACAAGGGAACATGAGCCATAAGAGTTTCATAATGAGCATAAAGGAATTTGTCATTTCAATGTAATTTGCAATAAAAAGAAAATTTGTCTAAAATTTATAAGAACATCCATTCCACCTACCTCAATCGTGCACCTCTTTCTTTGTCCGATCAAACTCTTCCCTCCACACGATTTATATTAAAAGAGACATACAATGAAAAACATATGACTAATCCTATATAATATCCTAAACCCTAATTCTAAAGTAATAAAAGGGTTCTTCTAATGTCTTGTTTATGTTCCAATTCAAGCCCTCCACACCAAATCATGATATCTCTCAAACACATTCTCTCTCAATTATGGTTTAGTCTAATTCCTTAGGTTTTAAGCATGCAACACTTTCCCTACCCTCAAACATATAAAATAAAATCAATTTAAATTAAAAATAAAAATTAGAAAATATAGTTTTTCAAGAAAAACCCATGTATTTGCCTCTAAAATCCTCCCAACAACAATGAAAACATAAGATAAAAATTCCTTAATTAGAGAGAAAAACCCCTAAACTCAAAATTTTCGTCATTCATTCAATATTTTTTACATAGAAGCTTTCTTAGGTTAATAAAACTCTTTTTGTGAAGACATTTCCAAAGAAACAATTTTTGAGCAAAACCTCTATTTCCAAAATTCTATTTTCAAGAAATAACTGCGATTAAGGTTTAGAAACATCCTTTAATCTTCCCTAAACTTTTCTCAAAGAAATTTCAATTTTCTCTAAACCCTAGTTTTCATTTTAGAGAAACTCAAGGGAAGAAGGAGAAAACTCAACAAAACACATCCTTAATCTCCCTTGGATTTCCCTACGTTTTTCTCCACGATCGGCCCGCGGAAACCCCGCCGCCGCAGCTTCCCGTCGCCCTCCTACCCGTCCTCTCCTCTTCTCCGCTGGTTTGTCGCAAGAAACAAATGGGGACCGAAAATATTTCGGTCCCCTAATAGGTGGGGTTCTCATAATGTAAGCACAATGACCTCAAAGCCCTCACTTAAACCCCTCTCTATTAAAAAAGCATTAAGGGTAAAAATGTCATTTAACTTTTCGAAATTTTACTCTCAAAATACTCAAATCCAATGGGTTATAATACATCAAAACGATCAAGAAT